GAAAATGTTTCGGTCGCTACCCGGATTCGAACCCGGGATCTTTGAATGAGATGCCAACACCTTAACCTCTAGGCCACGAGAGCCCCATGTGTGTGACGTCATTGTTGGACAAACGGGCTTGTGTGTTACGTCATCATTAGACATACGTGTGCGTTACGTCGTCATGGGACGGTTGGATATTGTATTACGTCATCACGAGGTAGACAAAAACAGGCTTTGAAAATAAGCTTTACTTTGGGACAACGTGGATTTGATAACCAGAATAATTTGATTTTCTCTTTTTCAAAATGACAAAAAGTGACATCCCTTGTTTGCTTCATTGTCTGCTTTTCCTTTGTGCCTTTCATATGTGAGGCAGCGTGGTGGAATCAGGCTCTCGTCAAAATAATCAAAGTGAAGAAATTTGCACTTTTCCCCAAGTTTGTGAATTTTTATCAAATTTTTTTTGGGGGGTTCAACACCTTTCATGCAATTTAAAGAACTCATCTATGTGTGGATTTTTCTGAAAAACGTTGATTAAAGGCGCAAAAAATGAAAATTTTCAGTTACCGCGGACTCTTAGGCTAAGGAAATCTTTGGCCTCCATTTTCTCACTAATTTTACCTCTGAAAACAGGTGACCCCCACCTCCTTCTTTCGCAAATATCTCGACTTGTATTCAAGTTAAATGGATATTTTTTTCATCCAAATAAAGACAAGTGATCGAGCTGTAAGATGATACCAGTAACTCTACCAGCACAAAAATTGACGAGAGCCTGATTCCACCGCGTTGCCTCACATATATCATTATTCGGTAATCTTTATGTAATAAGTTTTAACCCTATCCGTACGTCGTGTTTTACTATCGTATCCATACGACGTGGGGAACTCTGTGCCACCACTTTCCCAAGAGGAAATTTACTCTTTAATCCGATCCGTACGCTTTGCATAGCAGTCTGCCAAAAAGATTTTTTGAGAAATACTGAAATTTTCAAAGATACCTTCATACTAGAAATATTTTAAAATGTGAAGAATACAACCCTTGACCATCAATGATTTATTTATAGAGGCACCTCATTGATGGTCAAGGGTTGTATTCTTCACATTTTAGAATACTTCTAGTATCCGGGGGTACAAAATGACATCGGGGTGTATGGATAGGGTCAACGATTAATTGTTCTGGTAAAATGACACCATGAGGGAAGGACAAAGCTGACCTCGTGTAGGTCATGACTACTGTAGGTCCAGGTAAAGTTCTGGGCCGCCCCCTGGTGTGATGACGTCAGAGGCAGCAGCGAGCGCCCGGTCAGGCTGACCTTGAGGCCGTTGAGGGTGTAGTCGGGGTAGGGGACGTCAAACCACTGGAGGATGGTGGGGGTGAAGTCCATGGTGCTGGCCAGTGCTTCGGTTGTCTGTGCGGGGAGGGGGGTTAAAGAAAAAATAGGGGTTTAAGAGTTTGGATGAGGAGGAGGGGGAGGGGAAGTA